GAGCTATTGGGAAGCAGTTGCAGTAATTGGAGTGATGAGCTATGGTGTAGCTGTGGCTATGAAAAGGAGGGACAGCAGAATTAGATGGCACAGTCAATGGATTGCAAATACCAGAAATTCAAATTAGTAAGATATAAGCCTTATCCTCAATGAATTAGCAATCTAGTAAGGAAACCTTGGAGCAGCATTACTATGCAATGTTTTATTCAAAGTGCTATATTCACAGAGTTTTCATCCTATGAGTCTTTCCTATGGGAAATACAGGAAGTCTTTTCCTGGGAAATTTTGCAACAACTAGGAGAGTTTCAGTCCCAGTCATTCTTGTTGCGGATGATTAGAAAAGAACATGAGGTTCGAAAATACCAAGATGCGGTTGATAAACCAGATGGCAAAAAAAAGAGACATTTTTGCAGTGAAACTTGAAGAAAGATCAAGGAAAAGAAACCCAGGTCCCAGAACTGCAGTCTGGCAACTTCTCTGAGGAGGAAGAGAGCCCGAATGTGTGGAGCAAGCTGACAACATCTGCTCTGGCACAGAGTGACAATGAGCGACAGCCCTGAGACTGCACAGTGTCGTTCTGGGTATTGGGGAGTGTAATTGAGAAATGACTGCCAAGAATGGCGAGTTTCCCCAAATCTTTTCCATCTCATGCATCCAAATGACTGTATTTCTGCAACCTTGGCAGGATGGAGGTGGCGGAGGTACACAAGTCCAAGTTACAAAGTAAAAGCCATAATTTCTAAATACAGAACCAGACACATAAAGGGAACATACAAGCACATACTCTTGTATGTATCATTTGCAGCAAAGCAAAAATTAATTTGCCAGCAATATGTGGGAGTGTAGGGAATAAACATTCTGAAATTTCTAGCATACAAAGGAGGATTGTTGTATGACTTAGTAGTACTAAACACTATTACTAATTTAAAGTGTTTACAGGGGCTTTTGTACATTTCTCTCTTTAATGTGCTGACTTTGGTTTTAGAAAATACAAAAATATTAGTAAGGAATTTCACAATGAAACGCATGAAATTTGTATTCCTTAACTAAAAGGTTTCTTTCAGGAGGAAAAAAGAAAAGAAATTTCACAGGTTCACTTCTGACCTGCTCCTCCTAACATCTTATTGCCTCTCAGGTCTTAAACTTGAAAATTACAGATGCTCTGGGAGTCTGAGAGTCGCATATGTGCAAATCGACATGGAAACCCAACAGAGCAAGGGGTTCTTAAATCTGCCCAGAAAGTAAGATCTCAGGGGGAAAAGTAATGTTCGAATTGAACTTTAAAATGGGAAGGAGTTCACCAAAGAAGTATAGCAAAAACGAATTCTAGGCAGAGGTGATAGCCTGTGGAAGCATGCAAATGCATAGCATGTTCAGGAATAGCAGGTAGCAGTTGGAAATGGCGAAGATTTAGGTTGGCTAGAGAGTAGGAGGAAGGGGGAAGAGCCGAAGCTGGAACAACCTTGCCAGGCTATTCTATGAGAGGCTCAGTGAACTCAGTTACACAGTCTGGCTTAATGTTTGCCAGAGGTTGAGTTTAAAACATTAGGAATGAGTGAGGCCTTCTAAAATGGGAGTTTTTTTTTTTTTTTCCTTCTCAAAGATGGTAGCAATTGTTGAATTTTTGAGTTGGTGGAACTACCCTGAAGGATTCCATTATTCCCATGAAAATTAGTAGTTCTTGTGGTAAGGAAATGTTTCAGGAATTGTTGATAATAGGTATGTCAACAACTTCCAATTGCATAATGCCCCTAGAAAGATCCAAATCTTTTTCATGTGTTTGCTTTCATACTCCAGAAATAGTGTTGGCAAATGTTCAGAGAAGGCAGAAATTTGCCAGAACATGTTCTTTAAAGCCCCAGCTCACCTCTTTATGGAAGCAATCTTAGACTAATCTCTTGCACATCATTCAGGCTGTGTTACTTGACTTTGGTGTCCATATGCATTATGTTACGAAGCGTACGTATGTTTAGAGAAAAATTCTTCTCCTTTCTGTAGCTTGCTCAAGTACTGTAATTTGACCTGAGTCATAATTTTAATGTTCACCTTTCTTTGAGTTAAAGCTATTACTCCCAGATCTTTATTATGACTTCCACAAGGGATTAAGAAACATCACAACATATGAGTTGAAATACTTAGTTGTTTTAAAAAACATAAAATCATGAATGACATTGAAGATAAAAAGTAGTGCTATTTATAGACCTGCAGTTCATCCTCTTCCCCCTTCGAATCAAATCCAGACATCATTCCAACTACGACTTCAACAGAGTTAAACAATACAAGTGACAGGATCTTAAAACCATGGAAAATGCCATTATTGTTTCAGTCGAGTCTTATATAACAACTAAAGTCTGGTCTGAGTTGAATACCAGATTTTAGTAATGGAATATAGCTAACTGGTTACTAGTTTAGGATTAGCCCCAAATTAATGTTAATTATGTTTCAAATTCCAGAGTTTGCTAATACACCTGAATATAATGCTTCTCCATTCCCCTGACTACTAACTTTCTGAAGATGAGAAAGTTACTAATGGTTAAATTTTTCCTCATCTTATTGAGAGGGTTTAGTAGTGGAAAATAAATGAAAGGCTTTGGTTTACCTCAGTTGGCTGGTGTAGAGTCCACAGTAAAATCTAGAAACAACACTTTGAGTTACCAAGAAACAGAACAAAGTCCTTTAGATTGGGCAACACCAGGACACCCTGATGTTTCTTAATAGCTCATTTGGTTACAGTGGTCATTGCCAATAGCCTCCTGTTACATGATTCCAGAATAGAGTCTATATGGGGTACCTGAGAGCCTTCCCATACTCTGCCAACCAGTCAGTGCTATTTTTATGTAGAGTCAGGCAGCCTGTAATTTCCAGAACTGTTATTTAGAGTGAGCTGGCAAGTTCAAAGCAGATTTTATGAACATCCCTGACATTGTCAGTTAAAGTTGGAAATTGAGTGAAGTCCTTTTCACTTAGATGAATGAAGTTTTTTTTTTAATATAATCTGAATGTTATTTTTGTAGGATTGTTAACAGATGTATTAGATCTGTTTTTTAGCCTATGCATCATTTTTATTGAGCAACTCTCCACCTTTAATTAGATTTCAAGATGTGAAACTTTTTGTGTTGTCTTCAAAGTACCAATTTGGGATGTATCTAGAGCTTCTTTTCATAGGTTTCAATAAAGCTCGCCCATCTATCAGGCCGCCTAGTCTATTGTTAGGTAGAGATCATTTCATTTTGATGATTTTTTTTCTCTCCAGAGTAAAGAAATGCAAGATTACTGAACCTAACATTGGCAGCTCGCTCTATTCACTTCCTGCATCGACACAGACCCCTCCAGGTCCCAAGAAACATTACATATCACCACGTTCATTTCACAGATGAAATTAGTGCTCGGAGATATTTGTCAAATTTTCCTTTCCCAAATTTGCATGGCTGGTTAATAAAGGAACTAGACCTAAAACCCAGTTCTCTTGTATTCTATTACACTACGTTTTCTGTGCTAGGGGGAAATTAAGTGTCTCCCGCCTTTGTTTTCTCCTTCTGTGTTTGGAGGCCTAATTCTCCTTTTGTGAATTGCTGAAAGAAGTAAGCAATATAATTTGTTCCTTGAACTAGGGGAGAGAAATCCTAGTCTACAAGATATTTTCAAGATCAACCCTATTGACTCAAAAATGCAGTTTTATTACATTCAAAAGAAAGAACAAAATAGTGGTGAATCCCCTAAGTCAGCCACAACACACTCCCCAGTGAAAAGATGGAATTAAGTGGGTTGCCAATCAGAATAACTACCCAAGTATTTTAAATGTATGTTTCACATAGATACAAAAGCACATGTATGCTTTTGTCAGGTGTCTTTTAAGAATTTTCATGTAAATTTCTTTTTAATTTCTCTGCTCCTGTTAAATATTAACATTTCAAAGAGACAAAGAGCATATTTTATCGGAATGTTGGAGCTCATTATTTTAAGCAAAAAATACCTAAGAAATACCATATCAAACTTCTCCTTAACTGAAAACAAATGATTTCTAAATATAACTATATATTCTTTTAATAATCATCTAATTCATATCAAGCATGCATTTCAGTCTGTTGTCATTTATTTTTAGAGATTACTTTTAATAATCTCTAATGATTTTAATAATTATTTTTAGAGAAATGTTAAATCCAGATTATTTTTCCCTTAACTTGTGATGAAGAAAATTCTAATAGATTAAATAAATCAATTGTGCCTTTCTTTACAGATTCAGAGAAGAGTTAGTGTGACTAAAAAGTGAAGGCTTTAGTCTCAAAAGTCTGTCTGTAGTTTTGTGCTTTCGCATTTCCATATTAGCTTTGGTAAATTGCAGTTGGAAACTGCTTAAAATAAAATAATGAACGAGCCCATTAGAAGTGATAGAAGTAGTTTCTCTGCTGGGGGCAATGACTGAAAGTGGCCCCAAGGGGTTCCGGTGCTGGGGGTGCTCTATTTCTTTAGGCACGGATTACAGCTGTGTTCAGAGACAAGTGACACGTTCATGTGAATATTTCTGTATTATGTGTGAACTCAAAATGAAGAAAAGGTAAAGTGTATTACAAGCCTGGGACTATTCGTATTATGTACTATTTATTACTTAATGCCAAATTTAAAAGAATAGACTGAGAATTTTGATAGACTACCCCAAATATTTTAAATATTTCCTATCCTCTACCAAGAATTTGCATGTTAAATTACTAAATATTTTAGAAGTCAAGGAAAAAACTTGTAAACTTTATTTATAATTTATATAAATGCATATTTATCACTAAAGTAAAAGCAAGAAAGAACTTACCTTCTAATTTTCTTTAATGTGGAGTCTTTCTCACCTTAATATATATTCCAGCTATGACTTTATAGACTGTCTTTTCATAACTGTAATTAAAGCATTCATCAAATATATTTGTATGATTGATCATAAATGGTACATTACTTTTCCCTGTGACTTGTCAACAGGAAAAAATGTCTACTTCTCAAATTGTCTTTGACAGGTTACCTCTGCCAAAGCAGACGTTCATGGGCTACTGGACAGTTGGTCAGGGAGGAACTGGAATGCAGAGACTCTTGTGTCCCGCAGAAACTCATCATATAGACATAAAGGTTGATATCTTTATTATTTTCTCTTAAACTATTGACTCTTACAATTTTTTTCTGGTATGTTTCCTGGAGAAAATCCATGGCATCTCAGGAATGACCTGATATGATATCATTTTAGCTTCTGCTCAACTTTCAAATCAGTCTGACCTCCAGAGGACTCAACATACGCCATTCATAACACCCAGATAGAATTTCTAAGAGTTAATCTGTATATCCATTAGGTATATCTTGTGTTTTCCTAGGACAGTTACTCTGCGATATTTATCTTTACTTTGTGTTTGTCAGTGGAATTAAAACTTTGTGTGCGCTGTTTAAAAAGTTTCAGCTACTCTGTAGCTACACGTTATTGATAGATGCTGTCTTCTTCATGTGAAAAGGCAAAGGATTATCAGTCCCTCCTTGCAGTGGAAATCACTAAGTTTTTCAAGAAGAAAGGTGTTTATTTTGGGAAATGAGGTGCTTGTAAAATCATTAGAAAGGACAGGAAAAACAAAAGTCAGGGGATCAGTATTGGTTTTATAATTTCAAGATTAGTGTTTCTCTGTCTTTTACCATCCCTGTTGCTGGGACTTCATGGAAACCAAGGTCAGCAAGATTTTTCTGTAAAAGTGCCAGTAGTAAATATTTTAGGCTTTGTGGCCATACAGATTCTGTTGCAACTACTTAATTCTGCCATCACAGTGCAGAAGCAGCCATGGCAATACATAAACAAATGGGTGTGGCTGTTCTCCACTAAGATTTTCTTTACAGAAATAGACAATGGGTCATACTTGTCAACTTGTGGGCCTTGTCAACTCCTGTAATAGAGCACAGAATTTGCTCATATTTGTCAGAGCTTCCTTGTCTATGTTGATGTAGGAAGATACCCAGATACCTCTGTCCTGCCTTCCAGATTTCATGCAAATGCATTTAATTGGCAGGACCTAAGTCACTCCCAAAATCCTTTCTCTAGGGAGTGTGAGGAATCTAACCCCTGAGATACAGACTAGAGGAAGGGAGAATGCCAACATCTATCCCAAACATTTTTGATTAATTTAGGCTGTAGACCATGTGAATCATTGAAACTTCAATCATATCTATAGAGTTTTCCAGGAACTCGTATCTAATACCCAGCACTAATATCCATACATTATTAAATTAGTTGCTCTGCTTATGTTTATATTGAATGATTATCACTATGGATGAAATACTCTGCCTTTCATAAATAACACTGGTGATTATCAGTAAGTTTGAGTTGCTTTTATTTTTAACTTTCATATGTCATATTTTATGAAAATTTTACTTTTTTTATTATTAGACAGGCAGAATTAGACAGTGAGAGAGAGACAGAGAGAAAGGTCTTCCTTTTTCCCTTGGTTCACCCCACAATGGCCGCTATGGCCAGTGCGTTGCAGCCACCGTGCTGTGCGGATCCCAAGCCAGGAGCCAGGTGCTTCTCCTGGTCTCCCATGTGGGTGCAGGACCCAAGGACTTAGGCCATCCTCCACTGCACTCCCAGTCACAACAGAGAGCTGGACTGGAAGAGGAGCAACCAGGACAGAATGGCGCCCCAACTGGGACTAGAACCCGGGGTGCCGGCACCGCAGGCGGAGGATTAGCCTAGTGAGCCGCAGCGCCGGCTGGGAAGAATGCTTTTTATAACACTATCTAGAATTGAACCAGGCTTTTAAAAGTAAAATGTGGCCGGTGCCATTTGAGGGGTGAACCAACAGAAGGAAGACCCTTGTCTCTGTCTCTCTCTCTCACTGTCTAACTCTGCCCATCAAAAAGCATTCTTCCCAATGGAAATATGATCAGTCCCTGGGTCATTCATTTGCAAATTATTCTCCTGACTTAGACAGCTCTGAGTTGTGATATTTAGAATAAAAAACTAGGTGTTGGCTTAGAAAGGAACGAATTACTGAGACATCTTATGGGATTCTACTTCTGGCATGTTTTGTGAGTAAAAAGAAAAGAAAATGGGAAATTAAATAAGATAGCACATGTGAAAGCATCTGTAAATGCAGGTATATAGTGACATTATCAATATAAATATTATTCCAGCCAATAAAATGAGAAGAGGTATATTAGAACAGTATGTACTTGAATTAAAATGTATGTGTTGGAAGAACTGCAATTTTTCTATATTTTTGTGACTACACAAATTTCTAACTTAGCTAACTGCTTTATTACAGGGCCCAGCAACTGTAAACATACAGGAGTTTCCAATAGAAAGGCAGGAAGAAAGATCCCTAAACTTCACGGAAGAATGTGCTTCCTGGAGTTTCCCATTGGATGAAATTAATTTAGTCTGCGATATTGCTACATCCCATGGTATGTCAGCTCACTCTTTTGATGTTTTCTACACTGATTTTCTTTTTAAAGAAGGATTAAAATAATGTCTAGACATCAAGAGACTATGACAGACTCGGTGAGTGTCATTTGTGGATTGGATAGCAATTATATGTAATCTAGAACTAATTTCCTCTAACAACCTAGCAAAATGCTATTGTGGAATCCACATAAGTACTTCTGAGTTTGTGTGCGTATATCTGTTTCTCATTACAACTGTAGCACAAAGTTAAACACACCCAGGCATGTGCTAAAAATAGAAGGGAAAAATAAAAAGGAGTAACATTGGATTTTTTTTGGCTAGGATTCCAGTTTAGTGATTGCATGAACCACAAAAGCAGGGTTGGAGCGATTTGCACTCATTAAACTTCTCGTTGTTAAAAGACGTGGATTTTGGGCATCTACATTTCTGGACTCTTGCCATTACCTATGATGTGTAGTGAGCCTGGGCACCTTTTGGCAGGAGTTTCTCAGTGGATGTCAGTTGCTATGGTGATATAAACAGAAGTTGTAGCTAGGGAAAGGGTGAGAGTCTCTAACTTCAGGGAGATGGGAATTGTCAAGGCGAAGATCAGTATCTTATTTTTGTTCCTGTATGTTCTGTGGATATTGTTTATTCCCTAAATAAGCTATTTGACTAAAACTGTGCTTTAAAAATGTGCAGTTGTTCTTGTTGTTTGCTAAAACAAACAAACAAACAACTGTCTCTCTTATTAAGGTATTTTACATTCTGAGTGAGAGACAAAGTATGGAGCTTTGGGGTGAAGTTTGAACTTTGGCCCCTGTTTTGTTTCTAGGGAGTGTAAATAAGTACACTGTGATCTCTGCCCATGCCTAGGACAGAATTGCTAATCAGTCCCTGCTGTACTTTTCTCCATCAGCCTGGTCACAGGCCCCCAGTGTCCTCAGCACACATTCCACGTGGCCACTGCCCCTCAAGTCCGAGTCAGCCCTGAACAACGAAACTGTTTGCTATCCCAGATATAATTCAACACTCTGTTTTGGTGTTGGTCTCATTTTGTAAACTAAGGTTTTGTTTCTTTGTTTGTTTGTTTTATTCTGCATTTATAAGAGAAAAGAGCATGTTCTTGGATTAGAAACAGAGTTAATTATATTTCTGTATGTTTAGGCCAAAGACCAAATGGCATTTACTGCCTGTAGTAAGAAAGAGAACAACTAATAAGCTTCTTAAGTACATTTCTGTTAACACGTCTGCTGTATTCCCTAGTGCTCTGTGCTGTGCAGGAATGTGCTCATTAAATGTTGAGGTGAACGTGTTTGTGTTGATAATGGAAGCATTGTACAGTTCTATCTGTACAATGTACTATAGTACACACACACACACAGTTCCTACTGTTTCTAAATAATGTGTCCTCTTCAGCCCTTCTGTTGACTTTCATTTCTTAGCAATGTTAGTTTGTTGATTTAAATTTTACTATCCTTATATATATATATGACATATTTCTATATAGATAGATATAATGTTGTGTGTGTATATATATATATATATATATAATATTGTAGGTGTTGCACGCATACTCATATACACACATCTAGATTTTCCAGGGTAGTCCCAAATTGAAGCGTTTCTTATTCTCATATCTTGTGTCTTAATTTTGGTTTCAGAAAATATGACCATTGTGAATCAGAATCAGATACCTGCTGATAGAATTTATTATACAAGATAAATTTAATCCCTTATCTCAAGGTGACTACAAAGGAGGTTGTAAAAAACAAAACAGCCTAACTGCACAAAAGGAGGGCCTCAAACCAGCAGCCTGGGTTTATCCCCTGGGAGCCTATTGGAAGGACAGAGTCTGTAACCTAGCCCCACACCCACCAAGTCAGAATCTTCATTTTCATGTAGATTCCCCAGTGATTAATAGACATGCAAAAGTTGAAGAAGCACTGATATAGAATTCAGAAAATGGACCCAGAGGGGCCGCCTGCAATGCCAGCATCCCATATGGATGTCAGTTTCAGTCCCAGTTGCTCCATTTCCAATCCAGCTCCCTGCTAATGTGCCTGGGAAAGCAGTGGAGGATGGCCCAAGTGCTTGGGCCCCTGCACCCATGTTAGAGACCTGCATGAAGCTTGTGGCTTCAGCCTGCCCCAGCCCTGGTTGTTGCAGCAATTTGGGAAGTGAACCAGTGGAAGATCTCTCTCTATCTCCCTATTTCTTCCTGTCTCTCTTTGTAATTCTGCCTTTCAAATAAATAAAATAAATCTTTAAAAAAATAAAATAAAAAGTAAGAAAAGGGACCCAGGCAAGTATTCACCTTGAAAACACAGAGATTTTTCTTAAAAAAAAAAAAAAAAAGTATTCAACTATGAAGAAAAGCCTTGAAATTAAGAGCCATAGGACTAATATTATAAGATAAGTGATCATGTAGATAGGATTAAATGTTAAAGGGGTCATATAAATAAGATCAAATGTCTGATAATAATAATAGATTGAATTAAAAAGGAGAGAATGTTCCAACATGAGAAGTAGTGCACAGCAGACTCCTAGAATGATAATTGCTTTAAACAGCACTCTGACCTCAGAATCAGCCCTTAAGGAATCCTGGTCTGGCTGCAAAGAGAGCATTTGAGGAATGGAAAGCCAAGACACTGTGGCAAAAAAAATATCCTACATGAAGGATCTCTGTGAGAGCGATCCCAGTGAAAAGAAGTGGCCATCAAAGAAGGATGCACTTTGCTCTGAAGGGAGGAGAGAACTTCCACTTTGCTTAGGCCTTGTCTAAACACGGACAGAGTTTGTAGATTCAAAAGGCTTCCATAGCCTAGACAGCTAGCTTATGTCAAAAGCCTCAGATGATCACTGACGTCATACATAAGAGTGTTAATTGTTAAATTAACAACAGAAGTCACTGTGCACTAACTTCCCATGTAGGACCTCTGTCTTCAATGAGTTGTATTATGAGAATTAACTGTAAAACTTGTTCTCAAACAGTTTTTTTGTGCATATATGTGCAAATTGTTGAAATCTTTACTTTGTATAGAGTTGGTCTTTGTTTATAAAGTTAATTGAAAATGAATCTTAATGGAGAATGGGACTGGGAGTGGGAGAGTGAGGAAGAAGTGGGGTGGGAGTGTGGATGGGAGACAGATATGGTGGGAAGAATCACTATATTCCTAAAGTTGTACTTATGAAAATTGTACTCGTTAAATAAAAGATTTCTTTGGAAAAGAAAAAGAAATTGGCTGACTAATTTACAGCAAAAAAATTCATAAAGAACTAGTAAATAGCTAGAAAATGCAAGATTACCAGATAGAAGATGTTGATGAGCAGTTGTCCATTTGAAGCAACAGTAGAATGAAAGACCATTATTGGAACACAAGGCACTTTGCACCATACAAGGAAGAATTTCCTGAACTTGTGGATTGTAGAATACTTAATAGAATACTTAATAGGGTTATCATGAGATGTAACAGTATTCTTTTGGGAGCAAATAGATACTAATTTCCTCAAATTGATTGGTGTGGCCCTATCTGCATTTAGGGTAAGAAGCAAATTGCTTCTCATAGTCTCTTCAGCTTAATCAATCCACTTACATATAGCTGCTGAGCTTCAACTGTGTGTTCAACCTCTGGACTAATCAGAAAATCAGTTGTAAACCGTAAAATTAACATCTTTTTGTCATTTCAGATAATGAGGAAAATATTCTGTACGTAGCAGCATGCAACCCAGTTTCCTTGTACTTCATGAATATGGCTGGGAAAAGTGGCTACTTTGTGGACTTTTATGACATCTTCCCAAAACTGACCAGTGGAGTTTGGCATCCATTTGTGACAGTAGCCCCACTAGGAGGTCCCCTCAGAGGTCAAGTGATTCTCCATGAGGAACAGGTAACTTACTAGCCCACTAACATGCTTCAATTATGTGAATGGTAATTTATATGAAGTGGCAAAAAATCATCTACAGCCTATAACTGAAAATATGTGCTATCACAAAGATTATTTTCATAACCATTTATTTTATTTGAAAAGCAAAGTTGGAGCCAGCATTGTGGCATAATGGGTAAAGCCAATACCTGCAATCACATGGCATCCCATATGGGTGCTGGTTCTTGTCCCAGCTGCTCCACTTCCAATCCAGCTCCCTGCTAATGGCCTGGGGAAAGTAGCAGAAAATGACCCAAGTGCTTGGGCCCTTGCACACATGTAGTGGACCCGGATGAAACTCCTGGCTCCTGCCTTTGACCTGTGCCAGACCTGGCCATTGGAGCCATTTGTGGAGTAAACCAGCAGATGGAAAATCTTTGTCTCTTTCTCTCTTTCCCTCCTTCCTTCCCTCTTTATGTAACTCTGCCTTTCTTTTTTTAAGATTATTTTATGTATTTGAAAGTCAGAGTTACAGAGAGAGAGAAAGAGAAAGAGCTTCCATCTGCTGGTTTACTCCCCAGATGGCTGCAATTACCAAGGCTAAGCCGGTCAAAGCCAGGAGTCAGGAGCTTCATCCAGATCTCCCACATGAATGCAGGAGCCCAAACACTGTGGCTACTTTCTTCTGCTACTATCCCAGGCCATTAGCAGGGAGCTGGATCAGAAATGGAGCAGTCAGGACTTGAACCTGTGCCCACATGGGATGCCGATATTGCAGTTGGTGGCTTAACTCACCCACTACACCACAACGCCAGCCCTTTGAAGGAAATTTCTTTTAACTGAAAATACATGCTATCACAAAGGTTGAGGAGAAGGGCTGAGGGGCAACTGAGAAGTTTGATGTTAATCAGTACCACAAAGGCAGACTAATGTCCTTTCTGTAGAGACTTCAGTACAACCTGAAGGGCTGAAAACAGGTTGCTCAGTTTTTCAACCTCAATACCATTGACATTTAAGGCCAGATAATTCTCTTATCAAATTCACACTTTTTTGGGAGGGATACACGACAAATAAATAAACCAATAAGTAAACATGCCAGTTTCACATAGTGGTAAGTGCTATACAGAAACAGCATAATGTCTGAGGGAGTGATGGGGTGGAGTTGGGAGGACAAATATTGAAAGAGTGCTGAGAGAAGCCTGAATGACATTCTTTGTGTTTGGAGAGCCAGTTGAATACACTTGAGTGCAATACACTCTGATCATTTAGTATCTATGATGATCACATTCTATTCATCACTTCTGTGGATTAGTGCACTAAGGTTGCACTAAAGAAAAGTCAGAATAAAAGCAATTCCAAACAGATGTAGATCTATGTTTCAATTAGTGGGAATTCCAAGGCCAAGGTAATCTATACTATAGCAACAGTGAGGAGTCTAATGTTTTTGTTTACCTGCTATCTGCCTACTATCTACCAGCTGTTGTTCTAGTTATGTTATTCAATGAATGTATACCCAGTATCTGCTATTGGGGATGCCACAGTGAACAAAACAACAAAAAAATTCTTTTCTTCAAACGCTAACATTCTGATGTAGGAAGATAGAAAATAAACAAAATAAACACATGATATCTTAGGGTCAAAGGAGAAACCAAGACTGCATTTTAAAATAAGTTGGGCAGAGATTGCCTAACTGAAAGAGGTCAATGTTTAAATGAAAACTTGATGAAACTGAGGAGAACAGATACCTGAAGAACATTCTAGTCGATAGGAATAGTAAATTGAAGGGTCCAGAGGCTAAAACTTGCCCCTTCCTTTTTAAGAAGTGTGTTGGAGGAGATTGAATCAAGCAGGAGAGTAAGAGGTGAGGTAGAGGTTACTCAAGGGCGTGGGAGGGTGACAAGGCAGAGAGGGCTATGAGAAGCAGATTGTGTTGTGCCTGTAGGCCATCGAAGGTTCTGGGCCCTGACTGTGAATGAAAGGGGAATGCATTGGTGTGAGTTTTGAGCAGAAAAGTGGCACAATCTGACTTACGTTTTTTTAGAAATAAAGTCTCTGGTTGTGTTGTGATGAATAGAGAGCTCCCTCAGCAGATACTGAAGTGATCCAGCCAAAAGATACTGGTGGTTTGGAAGAGGATGGAGGTCATGAGCCGTGGTAGATTCTGGTTTTTTGAAAACAGAACTAGCAGGATTTCCTAGCAGATCAGATGTACATGATGAGAGAGGGCAGAGTTAAGGACAGCCTCAAGTTTTAGGGTCTGAACAACTTGGAATAAAATTGCCATAAACTGAGGTGGAGAAGGAGTCAGTGGAGAATATAGAATGCATGTTTGCTTGAATTCGTGATACCTATTAAACATCCCAGTAGAAGGTGAACTGGAATTCACTGGAGAGTTCAGAACAAGAAATATAAATTTAGGAGTTGTGAGTATATAAATGTTATATAAAGGCATCAGATTGAAAGAGGGCCCCATGGAAATGAATGCAGGGAGAGAAGAGATTCCCAGGCTCTAAGCCTTGGGGCAACAGAATCTGCAGAAATCAAGGTGAAGAGGAATCAACAATGAGGACTGGGTAAGAGTGAAGTAGATGGATAACCCAGGGAGTGTGGTATCCTGGAAGGCAAATGGTGACGGTCTCAAGGACAGAGATCAGATATCATGATGACAGTGTGTCAGGGATGAGCGTGCACTGTCTCAGCTTCTTACAACTGCCTAGGAGGAGACTGAGGCACAGAGGTTAAGCAAGCTTCCCAGAAAGTACATAGAACTGAGATTCAACCAAGCTGGGTGGACCCCACCCAAATTAGTCTTCACCCGTGTTCTCACTGACTGCAGATACCTGGGCTAAAGACTAGTCTGAAAACATTAAAGAGCATTCATAATAGGACAATATTAAAGAAATGCAATGCTGTTATTTTTAATCATTTAAAGAGAAAAGGATTACTAAGAAACAATACTTTTAGTCTGTACTTAGCCAAAAGGAAAAGAACATTTTAGTGGATCACTGGAGGAAATAACTCAGCTCTGACTTTACTCTTGCCTGAATCATCATCATAAATTCTGAGTTGGGTTTTTTCCTGGTTTTGTTTTCACATTTTTTTCCACTTTCACTTTCTCCTAGGAGCAGGGTTCATAAGTATCCAGATACGACTTATAAAAGTTTGTGTCCGGCAAATTGAAATGAGTTGTACTTTATAGATTTCCAATAAAATATCAAAGCCGTTATATTGAATTCGTCAGTCAGAAGAACCTGTCATGAAACCCACATGATATCTTGTTTTTTTTCATTCAGTAAGCCAAACAAGTTTGGGTGAGAATAAAAATTTAGAGTGTTTATTCCAAAAGTCCTGCCAGATTTCAGTGTCGAATTCATGGTCAGATTTACATGTGCACATTCGTCAAGGGGGCTTGGGGGGATTTGGATTTAAGATTAGGGGGTTCTTAGCAAGTATTTCCTCAAGTGATCCAATTATTTGGCAACCTTGCTGGTGAATACCCTGTTCTATTACAAAGACTTTATCCAAGAAAATTTGTTTTTCATTCCAGAGCCTGGCCCCCTGGCCTTCTTTCTGCTTATCCCCTGGCCACAGTGTTAACAGTTTTCCAGAAAGTGCTGGGACACCCTGAGCGGACTTGCCAGTGTAGCTGGATAGGTCCATTCTACTTGTCCTCCAAACTGCCCTATCATTCCTAAGAGGGAATCTGAGGTGTCCCTTTTGTGCTAATGCCTCTGTTGGGATGTCAGACCTGTTGGAATCCTTTATGAACAGCACCACACAGCCGGGAAACTCAACAACTGATACATAATTCTAGTGGAATATAAACTGCCCGCCACCAGCCCCTTCTCCCTCATCTGCCCTAACTGCAAATGAAGCTGACCTATCCTCAAGAGGACTTCCATGAATTCTCCTACACCCCTGTCTTTTTAAAATAAAGCTTTGCCACGGATACATTTCCCTGGTTAGCTTAAGAAGTTGTTCAGAAATTCCTTGCTAAAATAAAACCTTAAGTGAGGAAAGGGAAACTTTGCCATGCTAAAAATAAAGACCCTCCCTTCCCCCAGCCCCAGGAGATTACTTATTACATCTGCACAAAGTTTAGAATTTCAGACTTTGGGACATTGAGGTCATCCAGAGGTTACTTTTCTCCCAGTCAAATACAAACATAATAAACTCGCTCACTTGCCTCTCTTCCCTGCCCCGCTCCAAGGAGCGCCAAAGCCACAGTTACATGTACTCATGTGTGACGCAAAATTCTATTTTTAAACTCAGACAGAATATATCATTAGTCATTTACAGAAGGAAACCATTAACATCTAAAGGGAGGGAGCAACAGCGCTCCTTCGTGTTGCCAATTGCTTATAAAACTAATTCTAAATACAGGGATGGCTGGAATGTATACATGTTTTCTGTCAGGAAGAGTTTTCAGTTCACTTAGGACTATGTGACTATTAGACCCTAAAAAGGAACAAAAATGGAAAATCACACTTACTTTTCTGCTTAATCATATCTATTTAATCAGCTCCTTCATCATTTGTAAATGATTTAAAAATCATAAAATATATGTTTTAGAACTTTGTTTTAAAAGTTATAGCATCCTAAATTGCTTGAGTGCTAACAATTCATGTTAATATTGTAATACTTATGATACAGGCAAGATTTATTTACCATTAAACAGTCCTTTAAAATATTTAATCCACAATGGAGACTTTGTAATATTTTAACTTATTCATTAGTTTTTTTTTCTTTTTGGAAACCTCTTAAGTATCATTACCATTTTCAAAACTTTCCAAAACTATGAATAATGCTTCTTATTTAGATGTAATTTTTAAAATATTTCCAATGCACATTTTTAATGGAGAATTACATATTACACAGAATAATGCATTGGAAGGATGATGTTTGTGGAAAACATCAAAGCTTTGTCAACCTGCTTAGTAAAATTTTTTAAGACAGCCAAGGTTCAGAGTACATAGTGGGAAGTAAACTATGCAGTGCAAATGCTACTTTAATTCTTGAGCACTTCAATAAAATTTGCTTATAAAATAAATCTTGAAACCACAGTACCAAGTACTAGAATTGCAGCTGATTCATTAGTATTTTTACATTTCTTTAACTGGATTACATAAAAGAGGGCAAGGGCCATGATTAATTCATTGCTGTAGTCTCTTTTGTACTTTAAATATAAGCTGCTTAATAAATATTGTGGAATAAATGAACAAACCTCTTGCAATTTAATTGCTTTTTATATGTTGCAAAATAAGTATTAATACTTTGGGTGCCTTTCTACTTTATTTTCCCTAAAGGAAGTTCTTGAAATTAAGAAGTCAAAAAGGTAGAGGTAAATGGAGGAGCCCCAAATTTAAAACAGCACAAAAACCAGAAAGAAGGGACAGTTGCCTAGCAATAAGGGCAAACAACTATCAGGTGTCTTTTGCAAACCTGTTAGTCTGATCTTCAAATGTCTTCATATTTTAATGGAAAAAAGTCAACTTTTTTTGCATTGCTTTAAGATAGTTAATCATTTTTGGCTTTCTCAGTTTTAACTTCTTATTTCATGTGTTTCTATTTCTGTATTTCAATGCCTAGGGCTTGTTTCTCTTCTTTGTAAAAGCCCTTCTAATCACTGGGGGATTATTACCTCATTGCATAGCAGTGATTAATAATGCTGAAGAAGTCTCTTGTTTGTATATTAGTATAGTACCAGTTAATTCTAGCTTAGTGAATTTCAAGTTGAAGAAACACTCTTACCAGCTAATCTTCAAGTCCTTCATGTTTTCTTGTCAACTCATCTTTACATAAGATACCTGTTTTCTGAACTGAACCTGTTCTCATGAAAAGGATAAATAAGATTTAATCATACATGATGTAAGAGAACTTTCTACAGAGCATTCTCTAAGTGTAATTTGGGTATAAGTAAACTTCTTGAAAATATGTGTCAGTCCTTAATTTTCTTTTTATTATATAGTAAAAACAGAATCATGGTTCAGCCAGCTGTATTATATTTAGGAGGGAATGGTCTTAAGATAAAATCTTCAAGAAAATACCTTCTACCTTCCATAATTGGGAAAGCCTTCAGAAGGCCCACCTAAAAGTTTCAATTCTATGTTATGGGAAATCATTTGATGTCTTCGTGTGTCTGTTGAGTACTTCAATATTCTTGTCTTCCCATTGGTCTATCACTAAACCTTCCACTCTCAGGCTGCCAGGAGGCCAGTGCTTAAAAAAAAAAAAAAAAAGCAGCAGTAGCAGCAGCAGCAACCCCCCCGTAAAAAAGCAGGAACAAACCTTAAGCTTTTCACTCTTGTCTTTATTTCCAGAGTAATGTCATCCTGTTGTTGGACACTCCAGGCCGGGCCCTTCGGCGTCTCATCCTCCCTTCACAAGAAGTTACGTCCAAGAAGTCTTCCTGGTTGTACAAGCAGGAACCTGTAAGGAAGACCACGCTTTCAGCAAACTGCACAGGCCTTTCTGTAGCTTTCTGACATAAAACATTAGAGAATGCTGCCTATCCCTGCCTTTTTTACCATAATGCATAAGAGAATTCTTTCTATGTACTTGCAGATTTTGATGTAGTACAAATATGCAGTTATAGATACATGTATAATCAAATATGAATAGCATCTTGACCCACATATTAACAGGAATGAACTAATAATAGAACATTATTTGAATGTGATATTAAAATTTGAATATGATGTTCATAACCAACTCCCAGTCATGCAGTAAATTTTAACTTGTTTACTAAATATAGTTGTATTTTAGATTTGTGTGATAAAACCATGAGTACAACTCCTAATTGCCCCTATTAGATGAATAACTCTTTGGTTTGTTAACTAAATTAAACTGCAAATATGCAGCTTACACTATGCCCTGCAAAACAGCATTCTTATGTCTTCAAAGACCATAAAAAGAAATTTTTAAATGTTTTAAGTATATCTAAATCTAAAAAAATAAAATATGTACCACATGTTTATGTTATGATGTGAATTCTATTCTTAATTACCAGATAGTATATTTATGTTTAAACAGTATTTGGAATTATTTTTCAAAACTGATTCTAAAGAAGCTTTAGTACATAATTGTACAGTAAATTTTGAACTACAGTTTAATCCATGTTTTATAAGAGTCTTGGGGTGGGTAGAGGTTTTATACATTGAAGAATTTATTTAAAGGGGAGTAGCTAAAGACATGACTGCATCTGACACAATTATTAATGTTGCTATTTTGTTCTGTCTTCAGGAAACTTATAAAATGTGTAAAGAATTTGCACACAAAAACTGGCTAGTTTTCTACAAAGAAAAAGGGTGAGTTCTTCACGGTGAGAGATTTAAACTGAGGCTCTTATTTTGTCCATTCTTTCCTGTTGTAATTATACTTGTGTATTACAAAGCTAATGTAACCAAGTTAGAGATGCTTTGATGTGAAATTCACTCTTCTCACATTGAAGAACACTGCGAAACAGACAAGAAAGATTGTAACACAGAAGCTATCACTTGGACATAGTTTAGGATCTCAATTAACATTTTAATATCTTATTACTGTTTTCTGTGTGGGTGCAAACTGTTGAAATCTTTACTCAGTATAGAGTTGATCTTCTGTATATAGATCATTAAAAATGAATCTTAATGAAGAATGGGATGGGAGAGGGAGTAGGAGATGGGATGGTTTGGGGGTGGGAGGGTGGTTATGGAGAGAAGAGCCGCTATAATCCAGAAGTTGTACTTTTGAAATTTGTATTTATTAAATAAAAGTTTTCTATTTAAAAACATGTTATTACTTAGACTTTAAAACATCCCTCTTAGGGCTGTACAACATATTGTGGAATGACTCTACCATAATTACTCAACCATTATCCTTACTATTTCCTTTCTCATATGGTTTTCGTCTCCTTTTTCAGGAACAGTCTGACGGTGCTGGATGTTCTAGAAGGACGAACTCACACTATCTCGCTTCCCATTAACCTCAGTGCGGCTTTCCTTGTAGCGGAGGACAAATGGCTTCTGGTGGAGAGCAGAACAAATCAGTGGGTAGATCCATATAGCGTGTTACGGGGCATGTTGTAGCGCGGCCTTCGAAATCAATGATCCAACAGCCTTACTGTGAATTCCTTATGTCTGTCTTCAAGGTGTGTGTGTTTGGCAGCATCTCTGTAGGCAAGAATTACAAGAAAAATAAATGTCATTTCTCAAAGCAATCCATTGAAATTAGCAGTTATAAAATAATGATTATATAAATGATCTATGTTTCCATTAACACATTGAAAATCTACTATATTCTGCAATATATATATATACTATATATCTGCCAAATTGCAAATTCTTCTGTATAGATTTGACGTTTATTCCTTCTTCAAAGAGTCACAGTCTGCATCTTAGAACTGCTGCCTTCCTATAACTTCACAGAATCAACTCCTTAGAATTGTCTTCTTCTTTTCACCTCGTATGCTCCTATTTGGTTATGTTATGTTTATGCTTGGGCTACTGTACACTTCTGCATGAAAGGCATTAAGTGGCCCTTAATGTGCACACTAAATTCTGAGTCCCCTCACTCATGACTGCATTTGTGCCCTTCGATTGACAAGTAGAAGTAGTTGCAAAAGATTTCTGACTGTTTATATATCTGAATTTTGAAAATCCTAAAAAATAAGTAGATCAGAGGGACTGTAGTGGTAAGGAGCCAGCTGATGACACATCAGAGGTCTTGTTCCTAGTTACTGGCAGATCAAAGAGTCCTGTCAAGAGAGGGTGCCATGCAAATAAGGGCGTACTACATTAGAGTTGCTTTTCTTTTTACAGCTCTTCCTCTTATAGGAAGTGTGGGATTTGGAGTTCACTTTTACCACTGCATAGTTATTGGACACTGTTCGTTTACACAGTGTTGAGAAATCATTTGTTAATTTCTGATGAAGTCCTGAAACTGCAAATTAGATGATTTTTTAAAGAGGCTTTGGGAGCAAAAACTCTAATTTTTTATAGTCTACCATTATGATTATTAGAAAAAGAAAAACTCACTCAGGTGTTTCATTTGTTTATAGGAAATACCTTTTAACTAAGCCAGCACACATTGAATCTGAGAACAGTGGAGCATGCCAGCTGTACATGTTGAAAGAGGAACTGCCTAGTGCAGGGTTTGGAGTTACACAAGGTAAATACCATGCTCTCTGTGCTGATGGCTGTATGGGTGCATGCTTATACATGGACTGTCCTCTAGAATCATTTAAGGACAATAACATCAGCCTATGCTAATTTCATACCAAAAGAAAACTTAGTCACTACCCTAGAAATAGTAAATAGGTCATCTACCATCTTCCCGTTCATCATGAGGAAGCTCACTCTTTTAAGTTTTGTCTTTGGGTTGTTTAACTGCCAAATCAGAATTTTTATATACATATAGCTTCCTAATTAAGATGACATCTTTTCTTTATTTTCTTGGCCATCAGGGCTGCTATGTATTTCATCAAAGTCTTGGGGTGGCGGTGGTGATGAACAGTACTTATGAAAAATCTCTAAAATGTACTGTTACCAATCCTGAGTTGGGCCAGTTTCACAGGGAATAGACAATACTAATATTTATTCCTAATACAATTTCAAATTTCATAAATACTTAGAAGCACTTGGGAAGATGTCTTGATTGTGAAAACAGTTTCTCAGACCAAAGTCTATGAATTTAAAGTTTCTCTCTCTTTCCTTCTCTCTCTTTTTACCTTTTCCTTTCTGTTTGAGTTGTTTAAACTGAAATCCTGTAAAAAATTAATTCCTGGAGCATGCTGGGGACGTATGATGTCTAATGTTCGTCTCTTTTCAGAAACAGAATTCAGCATACCTCATAAAATTTCAAGTGACCAACTCTCATCTGACAATCTAAGTTCAGCTGTGGGACAAAAGATTGTCTCTCCCAACCGAATCCTCTCAGATGAGAACAGTTATGCTACAGTAGTAGTTGGTTTTCCAGATCTCATGGTAAGCATTTTTTTTTTTTCACAGAGAGAACAAGAGGGAGAGACAGAGACAGAGGTCTTCTATCCACTGGTTCACTCCCCAGATGGCTGCAATGGCCATGGGGGCTGGGCCAGGTCAAAAGTAGGAGCCCCGAGCTTGTTCTGGGTCTCCCACATAGATACAGGTACAGGGACCCAAGCACCTTGGGCTGTCTTCTGCTGTTTTCCCAGGCACACTAGCAGGGAGCTGGATTGGAAGTGGAGAAGCTGGGTCTTGAACCAGCACCCATATGGGGTGCCAGGGTTGCAGGCAGAGGCTTAACTTGCTATGTCACAACACAGGCCCCCAAGCATCAATTTTTTAATTATTGAATAAATGTTTCTTCTCCTCAATTTAACCTGTAATCTGTAAGCCTGTTTGATGGAGTAATTAAAAACATAATTCTTTTCTGGTAAATATATCAGATCAAATCTATAAGTCAGTCACTTAAAAACTATATTATACTTATATAATTTCATTAATTTTTTAAAAATTAACATTTGAAGGGCCAGCACTGTGGCACAGTGGGTTAAAGCCCTGGCTTGCAGTGCCAGTATCCCATATGGGTGCTGGTTCAAGTCCTGGCTGCTCCACTTCTGATCCAGCTCTCTGCTGTGGCCTAGGAAAACAATAGAAGATGGCTCAAGCACTTGGACCTGTGAGAAACCTGGAAGAAACTCCTGGCTCCTGGCTTCAGATCTGCTCAGCTCTGGCCGTTGCAGCCATTTGAGGAGTGAACCAGTGAATGGAAGACCTCTCTCTTTTTCTCTCTCTCTCTCTAGCTCTACCTCTCTAACTCTTCAAATAAATAAAATAAATCTTTTTTTTTTTTAAAAAGTAACATTTGGAGTGTAATTCTATGATATAATTTAGTAAGGGAAAATGAGTATTCTCCATTTGTGGAAGTTCAATGACACAAGAAACAATTTGAGACTAATAAAGTAGTCTCCTAAAATATTTTCAAGTTAAATTTTAGAGGGGTCATTACTGTAGATGCAGTTCTTCAACACTCATGAACATCAGTTCACTTTCATTTAAGTTTTGCTCTGATTTAATGTATGTTCGCAACATCCAGCTTAGGCTGTGATGGGTAATGACCTCAACTTATCTTTCAATTCAATGAAGCATATTACTGCTCTTTACTGTTATAAAGAAGAGGCTGTTTGTATTTGACTCCAGGTAAAACTGGGCACCAGTCTCTCCTGATGAAAATGTGAGGAAATAAATGTAAAGGTCATTTCAGTCCACACTGCCATCCAACAACCTTGATATAGCTCCATGTGTTTCGATTATACATTTAATTTTCATAATTTCCTTTGTAGCTATTAGATGGGCTGATAGAGTCATTTAAAAGATAAAAATATGGGCTCTTCTTGATAATACAACCATCTCACATGCCTCAAATTTTTAATGTAATTAATGAATGGTAGGCCCTTCAGGATATAAGACATTTGAAATCTAAAACCCCATGGATAATATGTGGCTTAGGACTTAGCCATATGTCTTCCTGATTATCAAGTAAACAGCATTTGTTATCATATTATGTAACTCAAAGTGAAACCTGTAGTTGGACTACAATGTCCACAGCAGCCTCAAGTGAATGAAAGAGATGTGTTTGATATGCTTTCTACAGTGTTATAGCTGTGAGTAGAAAAAGCAATGGAGCTTTTTGTCTGAAGATGGAACTAAGTAAAAAATAGATCTAATAACTTTCTTCTGATTGAAGAAATTAAAATAGAGATAGAATTATAAACAAGTTAGAGAATCAAAACCGAGTATAAAATACTGTATGTACTAATCCTATAGAAATCCTTTATAGCCTGTGTGATTACTGAACTTGTTAAGTTAAAAGCTATATCCCTGGTCCTTAGTGTGGTACCCACCACCTAAAAGGTGCTCAGTGAATATCTATTAAGTGAAAAATTAGAGTCAACCAGACAGCCTTCAATGTTTTTGGATGGCAATTGTATTTTTTGGTTCCCAATGCAATGGTTAGGTATTGTGCTTAATTCTAAGCCCTTTTCTGAAAGCTAGTTTTTATAACAGTTATACAAGGCTTTACAGATCAAGAAGTGGAAAAGTTCTGCCCCTCAGGTCACAGAGGCTATCAGTAAGCAAACTAAGATTTGAATTCAAGTGTGACCAACCCTCTACCCTGAATCCTTTTTACTATACCACACTGCCTGTCTGCTTTTATGTGGATTTCTTTACATTATACATAAAACTATCAACAAAGGATATGTCACCTCTTATTAACTTTTGTACAGTTATCAAAAACACCAAAATTATTAAAAGCTTACATAAATTTCTTATCCTAGTAACAAATATCTATAAAAACCTATAGCAAATATCATCCTCAGTAGTGAAACATTGAAAGCATTCCTAGCATAGCAGGTAAAGCCGCCACCTGCAGTGCTGGCATCCCATAGGGACACCAGTTCAAGTCCTGGCTGCTCCATTTCTGATCCAGCTCTCTGCTATGGCCTGGGAAAGCAGATGGCCCAAGTCTTTTGGCCCCTGCACCCGCATGGGAGACCAGAAGAAGCTCCTGGCTCCTGGCTTTGGACTAGAGCAGCTCAGACCATTGCGACCATCTGGAAGACCTCTCTCTCTTTCTTTCTTTCTCTCTCTCTCTCTGCCTCTGCCTCTCTGTAACTCTGCCTTTCAAGTAAAATAAATAAATCTTTAAAAAAAGACTTTGCATGGGGAAGGGGCAGCCTGGTGTGGTGTGTGGGAGTCCCAGCAAATGGAGGAGAAGGTTCACACTTGAACCTAGCTCAGTATCAGCTTCGGGAACCCAAGCAAGGTATCCAGGGCTTCCGCCAAGAAGATAAGGTTATGGTGGGGATAGAAAGTGGAGAATGCACAATGAAAGTAAATACATTAACCATAGTAACATAAAGATAATGAAATATATTCAGGATAATTAAATGATATGTATTTTAAAGCCTTTTTAATGCATAAAAATTGTACATGACTAAGAGGTACCATGTGATGTTTTAATACATATGTGTGTTGTATAATGTTCAGATCAGGTTAAATACACCTGCTCTCCTCAAATATTTATCATTTCTTTATGATTAATAAATTAAAAATCCTTTCTTCTTGCTTTTTCGTTAAAAAAAAAATACATGGTATGTCATTGTCATCCATGGTCACCCTACTGTACAACGGAAGCCCAGAACTTCTTATTCCTATCCAACTATAACTTAGTACCCATTAATCAACCACTTCTCATCCCTTCCTCCGTTCTGCTCTCCCCAGACTCTGGTAACCATCACTGTGCTCTCAACTTCTACAGGCTCAACTTTTTTAGATTCCACATATAAGTAAGGTCATTCAGTACTAGTCTTTCTGTGCCTGGCTTATTTCACTTAACATAATGACCTTCAGTTCCATCCATGTTGTTGCAGATGACAGGATTTCATCCCTTTTATGGCTGAGTGGTTTTGCATTGTGTCTATGTATCACATTGTCTTTATCCATTCATCAGTAGATGGACACTTACATTGTTTCCACTTCTTGGCTATTGTGAATAATGCTGCAGTAAACACAGGAGTGCAGATGTCTCTTCAACAGTCTGATTCCCTTTCCTTTGGATATATGTATCCCAAATAGTGAGATTTCTGGAGCATATAGTAGTTTTAATTTAGTTTAGTTTTTTAGGAAACTCTTTACTGTTTTTCACAGTGACTGTAGTGATGAACATTGTCAGCAGTAGTGTGCAGATGTTCCCTTTTCTCCACATCCTCGGCATCGCTGGCTGCTTTTTGTGGTTTTGACAGTGGCTATACAACTGCAGTCAGGTGATATCTCTCCGTGATTTTGATTTGCCTTAACCCCATGATTAGTGACACTGAGCTTTTTTTCATGTACCTGTCAGCCGTATGTGTGTCTTTCTCTTAAAAATGTCTGGATCTACTGCCCATTATTTGGTGGTGGTATTTGCTACTGAGTTGTTTGTGTTCTTTATATGTTCTGAATATTAACCCTTTATCAAATCAATAGCTTTAAAGCAAAATACATTCTCTCATTCAGATTAGTTCTTTACTCTGTTGATTATTTCCTTTGCTTGGAATTAGCTTCCTCATTTGATATCTTTATTTTTTTTCTTGTCTTTTAGGATCTGATTCAAAAACAAATCCTTGCCTATCCCAGTGTGCTGAAGTATTTTCCCTGTTTTATTCTAGTAGTTTCATAGCTCCAGGTCCTACATTTAGATCTTTAATCCATCTGTGTTGATTTTTGTACATGGTAATAGACAGGTGCCCCAGTTTCATTCTTCTGTGTGTAGATAGCCAATTTTCCCAGCACCATCTACTGGAAGATCATTCTTCCTCTAATATATGTTTTTAGCACATTTGTCAAAGATCAGTTGACTGTAGATATGTAGGGTTACTGCTAGGTTCTCTATTTTTCTCCATTGGTCTGTCTGTTTTTATGCCAATACTATGCTGTTTTAATTTCTGTTGCTCTGTAGTAAATTTTAAAGTCAGGTAATATAATGTCTCAAGTTCACTTCTTTTTGTTTAAGTTTGGTTTGGCTATTTGGGGTGTTTGTAGTTCCATACAAATTTTAGTAGTATTTTGTCTAGTTCTGTAAATCAAAAAGTCATTGATATTTTGATAGGGATAATATTGAATCTGTAAGTGAGTTGGATGCTATGGATGTTTTAAGGATATTGATTCCTCCACTTCATGAACAGAGGCTGTCTTTTCACATGTTTGTGTCCTCTTCAGTTGCTTTCATCAATATTTATAGTTTTTATTTAAGAGATTGTTTACTCCTTTGCTAAATTTATTCCTAGATACTTCACATTATTTTTTTATAGCTAATGGAGTTGAAATTGCTTTCTTCATTCTTTTTTCCTATAATTTGCTATTGATGAAAAACAGTTCTATTAATTTTTGCACGTTGATTTTTGTGTCCTGCAGTTTGCTGTATATATTTTTCTAATCGATTTTTGGTGAAATGTGTGGTGTTTTCTATGTATAAGATTGTATCACATGGGACTGATGGCCCCCTAACCCATTTCAGGCCCCAAGTGGGCCCTAGAGCAATGCCACTGTCCTTCTGTAGGGAATAGCTATTTATTTTGCTGTGGATAAAGAATGGGGACTCTCTATGTTTCTATTAAGGAAAAAAAAAAAAAATTTGTCAGTAGGATATCTCCCTGTAGACAACTAAAGATTTTTCTTAGGGGAAAAAAAAAGATTATGTCATGTGTAAACAATGACAGTTTGACTTTCTCCTTTCCTATTTGGATACCCTTTATTTCTTTCTCTGCCAAAATAATAACATAAGGTTAATTAAAACAGATTTCTGGTGGAGAAGGGAGTCACATTTACTGAAAGAAGAAAACTAGAATGAGCCCCATAGTCATTGAATTGGAGTTGGATATATTTGTTTGTATTCATAATTTTCTATGTATTTAGATAGTTACAGAAATAAAATTAAGGATGGGGCCGGCACTGTGGCACAGTGGTTTAAAGCCCTGGCCTGAAGCGCCAGCATCCCATATGGGCGCTGGTTCTAGTCCTGGCTGCTCCTCTTCCAATCCAGCTCTCTGCTATGGCCTGGGAAAGCAGTAGAAGATGGCCCAAGTCCTTGGGCCCCTGCACTCACATAGGAGACCTGGAGGAAGCTCCTGGCTCCTAATTTCGGATCAGCACAGCTCCGGCCATTGCGGTCAAATGGGGAGAGAACCAGTGGATGGAAGACCTCTCTCTCTCTCTTGCTCTCTCTCTCTGCCTCTCCACTCTATGTGTAACTCTTTCAAATAAATAAATAAATCTTTAAAAAAAAGAAATAAAATTAAGGGTAAATATAAAAATGGGCAAAAGACTTGAACAAACGCTTCAACAAAGAGGATATGGGGTGACAAATTAGTATATGAAAAATTATCCAAAAACACTGGTCATGAGAGAAATGAAAATTAAAACCACAATGAGATGCTACAATATGCCTCTTAGAATGGCTAAAGTAAGAAATAACAAATATCGACAAGAATGCAGAGCAGATAACGCTCATACATTTTTATGGAAGTGCAATGGCAAACAATAACCATGACATCACTAACAAAGAACAAGCAGAGGTACTCATCCTAGTAAATTTCAAGGCTAGTAAAAGGTGCAATAACAAACACTATGTGACATTTCCATAGTGGTAGAAAAATATACAGTAACACAGAGCTTAGTGCCCAGAAACAGATGCATGCATACACGGATCTGTGTTTGGTGATAGCATTGCATATCAAAGTGAACAAAGGTTAATGATATTTGGACCATTAGGTGTCCCTGTGATTAAAGGATGAACCTAGGTCCTTGCCTCCCACCACTCACAAAAATAAACTCCTGACAGGCTGAGGTCCTCACTCTTGAAAGCAGTTTCAGAGAAACCATAGGAAGATATCATTTGATCTTGGAAAGGATGCAACTTTAAAAGCTTTAAAGTAAAGCAAAATTCCAGAAGAGTTAAATTTAGAGAAGACAAAAAGAGGTGTGATTGACAAGAGACACTCTAAGGGCTTCAGAAACATTAGTTTTGTTGTATTCCTCAGGTCAAATGGTCGATACATATGTGTTCATTTTTTCATTTCAAAATAAAAAACTAGTATATCTCACATGTCTGAAAATTATAGTTCTTTGTGAAGCAGCTATTTTCTGTACCAAATCCAAAAGAGTTGAAGAATAATTCAGTTTTTCTCATACTTGTTAAAAACTTAAGTTTACCATTACTATCTGCTTAAAGATGAAAGGGTGCATTGTTAAAATTGTGATGAGGGTAGGCATATGACAATGCTTAAATCTTTTTGTTGTTGTTTTTCAGTCACCTAGTGAAGTTTATTCTTGGAAGAGGCCATCATCTTTGCATAAATCAAATGTCACTGATACAGCATTCTATGGAGGAAAGAAGAAAAGTGGGACCCCAAAACAGAGCAATTGTGTGACTCTTTTAGATACCAATCAGGTAGTAAGGATTCTCCCCCCAGGAGATGTCCCTCTAGGAGATATCTACCCCAAAGGTAAGGAACTTTTCATTTACCAAGGTGGTTAAATGTAGCTTGCTTTCGGTAGGGAACACTTAGCTTATCATTATCTTTGCATATTAATCAACATAGATTATTCTCACAGATCTGGAAGCAGCTAAAAAGACTTAGGGGGTTCTAAAAGTTCTCACTCACCTTCACACAGTGTGAGAGCTCATCCTCGTTCTGGGACAATCTACAGTAACTTTACTAGAACATGTTTCAGAAGGCCACCTAAAATGATCAGGATTTTAGGCATAAACTAGATATGAAGCCTCACTTTGGTATTAAATTTCTGATACCGAGAACCAGGTGCTTATAAGACAGATCGACTGAATTATCAGTGCTTTCAAAGTCAACTTCTGTTTATTACTATAAAATATATCCAAGCCCAAGGCTTGTCCTGATCTCATCTTTTTATTCTCATATACATTCATTGATCTTCAAAATCTCATCCTATTGTTGACATGCTGTGTAATTTATGCATAAAAAAATGCTGACAGAGGGTTCAATGACCAGATCACTCCACCAGTGGCCAGCAAAACCCAGATTTGCACCAAAGTCTTCCACTCCCAAATCTAGAGCTATTATTGGATTGGATATTGCTTTCATCATAACAAATGATTGTAAATTATTGACTGCTCTTATCTGCATCATAGAATCAGTAATATATTACCCTATTTTTACATTTATTATAGTAGTATGGGCTTCACAAATGTAATGCTAACTGTATAATACTAATCTGTTCCTGGGGTTTGAAAAGCCCTGGTTATATAACAGTATTTAGAATTAATTCCTTCCAGACTGAAACCCGTGGAAAGAAACCATGATTTCCTTAAGCTGTTTATGGAGGAAGAAGCAGATGAATACATTGACAATTGCAGTACAGTGTAATAAGTGCTATGATGGGAATATTCACAAGGTGAAACATCAATGCAAAAGAGAAGCTTACAACTCAGACCGATTAACTTTCACTCATCTTTCATGAGTCAAATCATAATCAATTGAAGGAACCTTTCCAGGGAAAGAGTCCCATATGGCAGAGTCAGGGGTTGGCAGAGCACTCCAGGAATTATAGGGAGTTCTGAAGCAGGGTTTGGTGCACCTCCGTCAACCCAGAAACCTGGAGTCCACCTTAATGCCTCTTCTCTCATTGTCCACATCCAATCCATCAGTCACTCTGTCCTGATATGACATCACTAATGAGCCTTGTATCCACTCACTTGGTCTCCATTCTGCTGCCTGCCTCCCATCTGGAGTACCACCATCTTGCCTATCTGAAACAGTGCCATAGACTCCTAAACATGTTACCTCTTCCATGCTTTTCTCCTCACCCATTCTCCACAAATCTGAGTGATATCATAAAGATGAACATTGGTCCTTATCAGGACCCACCTTATGCACAGTAAAATTCACCCCTTTTACTGTATAGTTCTCTGAGTTTGACAGACACAATTTTGTAAGCACTACCACAGTTTATACAGAAGATTCCATTGCCCTACAAACCTCCCCCATGCCACTTTGTGGCCAACTCCCACCCTATCTGAAACCAAAAGCCAAATTTCTGTGTTTCTGTCCTCATAAATTTACCTTTATCAGAATATTGTATAGAATCATATGAATGTGTGGATTTCTGAGTCTGGCTTCTTTCCTTTGATATAATGCATTTGACAGTTGTTTATGTTGTATGTACCAGTACTCAATTCCTTTTTATTGCCAGGTGATTGTCTATCATATGGATGTATTTTCTGCTTATTGTTTGCAAATGGATTGTTTCTAGTATGGGGCAGTAATGAATATGGCCACTGTCCACATTTATTCACAGATTTTCAAGTGAACACAACTTTCTGTTCTACTTAGGTGTACATATCTTGGAATGGCATTTTTACATTACGTGACAAAGCTGCCAAACTGTTTTCCAAGGTGCAGTCCCATCTTGCATTTCTGTTAACAGTGAATGAGAGTTGCAGTTACTCTGTATCCTTGCCAGTACTCATTATCTGCAATTCTTGATCTTTCTAGTAGTTCTGTGGTCTATCTCATTCAACTTTTATTTTATATTTTCCCTAGCACCTAATGATGTTGACAATTTTTTCACATATATCTTCTTTAGTGAAATGCATCTTCAGATCTTTTGCCCATTTTAATTGAGATATTCTTTCTATGCATATCCTTTCCATGTTCTGGGTATAAGTCCAGTGTCAGTATACTTCACAAATATTTTCTCCTATTTTGATGAAAGGAAAATCTCCTTTGTTTTCTTCTACAAGTCTTACACTTCTAGATTTTATATTTAAGTTTAGGATCCAAGTTGAGCTAATTTTTTACATGGTGTAAAGGTGAACACCGAATCCTAAGAATTGGGAAGAGAATTCAGGAATTTGGGAATTCGGTTTGGTCAAGAAGAGCGTCTTTGTCATCACCACACTGATAGCTCTACTTCATAGTCACTGCTTTACATACCACCACTTACTCATCTCTTCTTTGTCAATGCACAGTTAGGTTCTTTCTAAGTTTTTGCCATCACAAATAAGGGGTACTATGAATATTCTCATGCCTGTCTCCTTGAATATACATTGAGAGTCTGAAGGACACGTATCCATCAGTGGAATTACCAAGGTTGTTGTCCCAGCAGCATAAAGGAAGTCACTGAAAAATAGCATAATGTGAAACGTCACATATAAAAGCCTTTTTATTATGACACTCATCCTTCTTTTAACCTGGGAACTCAGGTGGAAGTACATTAAACCTAGTGGTTCACTGTTGTACATCAAATTGCATTTCTAGAAGGAGTGGATTTTAAAATATAATTTCATCTTCCCTCTGAAAATTTTCTTGGTTGTGCTGCCTGACAGTTTTTATACCTCCTCCTAACCTTGGCACTGCGCATATAAACTGTCCCCACTGTACATGGGAACTATGTGATAAACACTGCAGCAATGACTTCCCTTTAATGGTTAGTGAGCTAATCCCTAAATATAGTTTATACCTATCTTTGAAATCCACCTGGATTATAAATGTAATGGAAATTTACTGAGCCTCATCCTCTCTAGAGTGTTGAAACATTTAAAATGGATGGGCAAGGACTTGGCTAAGTTTGGAGGAAAACCTAGCCACGCGGTTTACTTCCTTAATTCAATCATGTATTCTGTGTAGGGACAGCCATAAAGTCCTTTTTGTAAATATCCTTGTCTGCTAGCAAATCAGTAAACATCAATTTTGATTATTTTTAAGTGCTTACCACTACTACCACCATCTTTTATCTTTCCCTGCAGTGTTTTATAGCCACAAATTCCCTTTTCTGATCGATACAAATATTTTCTAATATCAAGAGTAAAATTCTTGCTTTCTTCTTCTTAAAATAGTAAACAGTTTTCATTGCACTTTTCTTACCTTCTATGTCATGGAATTAATTTTCACAATGAAAGAAAAGAAAGACATAGGAAAAAAATGGTATTTTTAAATAAGTTGGCTTGCTTTACTCTCACAGGCCAAATAGTGCTGATGGCAGTAGCTCAACTTAATACTACTTTAAAAAGAAATCCTCTAAATGGCAAGCCAAAATGTGAGTAAGTTGGTTAGCTAGTCATCTTTAGTCATCCCAACTGCTTAAATAACTGGTCATTTTTGGCATTGAACCGTGGTCTATAAATAATTCAACTTACTTCAGCTAGGTTCTAGCAACAGGAATTGTCAAAAAAAAAAAAAAAAAAGGTACATGGTGCAAACCTTTATCCAAGATTGACCTTATATCCTAGGCTGCATTTTCAACACAGATGGTCCATGACATTCATTTTATACAAATGGTCATCCAGGCACAACCGATGCATTCGGGTGGTCAGATTACTTTATTTCTAATGCCCTCCTGTCTCTGGACATTACCTCCTTCCCTTGGAACTCTCCCTTGCCCAGTTCTGCAGCTCATACCTGGCCCAGGACTGTGACTCCCAAAAGGCCAAAATGGCTTAGACAATTTTTTAAGAAAGAAAGAAAAACGAGAGTTTTCTCTTTATGCTGTGAACTTCTCAAAGACAAGGTCCACATCTCTTTCCTTTCTCTGTCTCCAGCACTTCATGGATGTCTGGTGCAAAGTAAGTTCAAACATGTTTGTTAAGTAGATCTGAGAGATGTTGAGTTTTTCAGATAAGCTATTTAGAAAACTACTACAATCATGAAATAAAAAAGCCAAGCTCCAGTGAATTCAGTGTGAAGATCCTGGATATCTCATTCTAATCAGAAGTTACAATATAAGGTGGTAGGTAGAGAGGCAGACATGAAAAGCTTTAAACATGTGAGCTATGTGTAGGGAAAATTTCTTTTTACAAAGCAACTTAAGGTCCAAGATTTTGTAAAATGGGTCTACTTCACAAATAACTATTTCCTGGGAGCCAGCTAAGCCAAGAGTTGTGTGTGGAGTTCCAGAAGGCCTGTGTTTGAAGGCAATGGCAGCTCAGTCACCTCAGCACACCTGTGTAAGCCTCTGCTTCCTCTCCCCCAAACAGGAATCCTGGGTCTTGCTTGTTGTCAGTGCTGTTGGCGCTCTCTGTAAAGACTCATCAGAGCTGCTGACTTTGAGGGCAATGGTAGTCTACAGTGCTAGTGGGAGAGAAGTCAGTGAAACCCAAGAATTTGCTGGGAAACCAACCCCAGAACTGAAGTGGAGGCCTCTGGCTCCCACATCTCTTAGTCTCCTCCTTCCCTCAACTTTCCACATTCTCTGTGATCCAGAGTCCTCCCTCCACTGCCCTATGCTCACCTCACTTCTGTCTTTCAGGGCCCTAATAATGACAGATACTGTAAGCGGAGCAACTATAATTAAATGCTATGAGTCTGTAATTTCATCTAATCCTCAAAATAGTACTTAGATGCTCAAATGCTGCTATTGTTCCCATTTTACAAATGGGGGAAACAGGCCTCAGAAAGGTAACTAACTTCACTAATATGACACAGCTAGGAAATATCAGAGCCAGGCCTTCCTACCCGGTCTTTATGAGGACTGGACTTGACACTGTACCCCGGCAAGTACATCCCAGAGTTCCACCCTAAGCCACTAATAACTTTATTCCACTTCTAGCAGCATTCAGTTATTCTTTTGGTTCATTTGGGTCTCATGCAGTAATTTAATACGTGGATCATTTTGTGAATCGTGTGCAGATGTTACCCCTCCACAAACAGCTGGTTATATAGAAGTCACTGATCTTCAATCAAAGAAACTGCGATATATCCCTATTCCCAGGTAATACATTTCACTTTTGTTCTTAGCTTGTAGTATCATAAAAAATGAGTGAATTCTTAATAAGTACTCTGAACAAATGTGTGCTTTTTGCTTCCTTAAATAGCAAGCTCTTTTTCCCCCCATTATAGTTGGTTTATATCTTGCTGTTCTTCCGCATGCTTTACTGACATTTTTATAATCATTTTGGAAAAATGTTATATAGGTATAAGTCTAACAGCCTTCAACCTTGCATTTTCTTTTGTTTGATCTGTTCTGGTGGTAAGTTTTTCTATGTCCTGAAATAGCATTTTTAGTATTGCAGAGATTTTGATACTTATTAACTTTATGTAATAGTGTTCTGAAGCAGAGGTGTTCAAAATGTCAGAGGAATTTAAATGGCATTTGCTTAATATTGTTTTTAAGTATGTTTCTGTGCATGTCCAGTTATGGAGGTCAAAGAGTAGCTGAAGGTTTCCTTAGATGTAGGATGAAATTCATTACCATTCACTGTTTTTTATTTTTGTCCAGTGGTGGTAGCTAGACTCAGGACACAAAAGCAGAAACAGTAACACTTGGTCTCTACCTTGAGAACACAGGTGTCCTCTCACTTGTCACCCATGCCTTTCTGGGTGCATCCTGGTCTTGCCTCCCTCTCTCAAGTTCACCTTACAGCTGCTTTGTCAGCATATGCTGAGTTTTGCCTTTTTCCTTCCTTTGCCCATGCCCCTTCTGGCCAAAGCCTCCTTCCTCCATTCCGGTTGGATCTAGATTAAGATCAGATGCACTCCTCCCATTGACTCCCTCACATGTGATGGAGCCCTTGCAACGCAGTGGGGAAGTCCTTGCCTGAAACCTGAAGCAGAGGGGCCTGGAGGGTCTTCCAAGGTCAGTGGAAGGCCAGGGACACGGAAACCTGTTGGTTCCCCCAGAGCATCCTTAGGCCACCATCTTCTCCCTCCACTCTCAGAAGAAGCCAGCTCAGCGGGACAGTACAAAATAATGCAGAAAAACAGCTTCCTGTCTTGGGACCAATAGATTTATTTGTCCCAACAAATGTAGGTATGACTTCTTGGAACCATCTTAATGTGTTGGTTTAAGGATAAATGACTTTAAATTGGAAGAAATTCCTCAGTCTGTCTTAATGACACACTCCTTAAAATATACTGTTAGTTCTAATAATGGAAGCAAAGAATATGCTTCTTAAATATTTCTAAAGCATTGGTAATTTCACACAGTATTTCTCTTTATCCTTCTCTCACTAAACCCCGTGTTCTTTCCTTTTTAACTTTCTGTAAGGGCCACATGTTATCCCTGACGTGGAAGAACACCTGCAAGAGCAGCTGTGTAGCCGGCCGCACGCCAGCCGGTCGCCGTAATTCACTCATTAAGAGCTGCCCTGTCCAGTGGAAATATAATGCAAGCCAAATATGTAATTTTATATTTCTTAGTGACCACACTAAAAAAAAAGGTCAAAGGAGACAGGTGAAATTACATTTAATAATATATTTTACCCAGTGTGTCCACATGATTATCTTTGTGATGTGTATTCAGAATGAAGACTGTAGTGAGGGATTCTGTGTTGCTTTTTCCTTTAAGTCCGTGAGGCCCAGTGTTTTATGCCTCCTGCACCTCTCCACTTGCCATATTTCAGGTCTCACTTGATGGAGAATCTGTTTCACTGCATCCTGAGTCTCTCTTGAGATTAACTGTTGCTATTTTTGGCACATATATATATTTCAAGGGAACAACCCATCTGGATTTCAGTTTTTCTGCCAGTTGCTTAAATTTAACATTCTGCTACATATCAGGAATTTTCCACTTGATGACTAACTTCAAATAATAGAGAATACAATAAAACCGCATGTAACTACAGGGCCAAAGTGAATACGCTGCTGTCGCCCTCACTTATTTTTTGTACTGTTTTCACTTGTAAACCTGTACGGTCTAGCTTCACATACGCTGTATAGAAAGCTAGACCCTACTGTAATTCTTGGTAATTATGTATAAGGGGAATGTGCATTTAAAAAATAAGAGATTCTAGACTTGGTGTGCGAACTTTAGTAAATATGCAATTTCTTCAGTAACTTTTTTGTTTTAACGATTTAAGAAATTGCCCTTGTAAATTGAAAATTTTGTGGTGGAGAATTAAATAAGGGCAAGCAGTACATAAAATGCTCATGGACCCATACAATTGAAGTGTTCCTGGCAGAAACTCAAACCTAGTTTCACAGGGATAAATTCCATTTTTCTTGAATAGCTCTTTACCTCACCATCTGTAGCTACAATTTTTTTTTCTAAAGAAAATACTTTATGAGGGAGTACCATGAAATAAATTCCATATTATTTCAAGTTTATCTCTTAGGAGCCCTAGAAAGTAGTTTTGAAACACATGGTCTCATCTTACTGTGCTCTTCCTCATCTTATCAACATTTGAGAAGACTTTTGCACTGAGAATAGCTGCCCTTGTCACTGTCTTTATGTTCAGCTAAGGAAAACAGAAAAAAGGTCCAAATACTCTTGACTTTTGATATATTGTAAGAATTTAGCTAACATATTGTGGTTTTATGATTTTTCCACATCTACATTGCTAATTCAGTGTTTTTTTCTTATTATGTGATCAGACTATCCTTTACACCATGTAGAGAGCCAACCTTGGTAATAGGAATTTATAATCTGTCTCTTTTGTATAGCAAAAGCTATACTTATTTCAAAGAAGCATGCAATTGACTCTTACAGACAGCAGTTGCACTTCTAGAAATTACTATACATATAGTAATATACATGGCTCCATAGTAATATGTATTGTATCCTATATGATAATGGATGTATGTGTGAAACATGTAACTATATAAATTCCATGTTACAGATTCATAAGTGAGAAAAGGCAAAGTCTCAAATATAAATGCAATTGAAATGAGTTGAGACTCCAAGGAATGAGCCAACCACTACACGTTGCTGGGGGAGGCGGAGTTCCTTTCTTCCCGACAGCTGAGAGCCAGGGTCAGCTAGGGTCCACATACGCAGAAAAATGCAAATAACCCATAAATTACTGTGTAATTTTGTTCCTTACAAATGGATCTGTTGATATCTTCTTAATGTACTTTCTATTAGACTTCTATCTCAGGTCAAGCTGCAATAACAGAATAATAGAATAGACTGGGTGGCTTAAATGACAAACATTTATTTCTCAAAGTCCCGAGGCTGGGAAAGCCAAGATCATGGCCCCAGCTAATTCATCTCCCGATGAGGGCTCCCCTGCAGAGGCTGCCTTCCTGCTCTGTCCCAGCATGAGAAAGGTGGGTCAGAGAGGGGCAGGGAGCACACAATTCCCCCGGTCTCTTCTAATCAGGGTTCTAATCCCTTCACAAGACGCTACGCTCATGTCTTGTCTAAACCTAATCACCTCTCAGAGGTTCCCCAGCTCAGTGGGAGTTAGGGCTCCAGCATAGGATTTTGGGAAGGGACACATTCAGTCCATGATAAATTATTTATAACAAACTTAGTGAACCTAAATTAGCCTAAGCTAGTTTCATTACCAGGACTACTGATAGGTTACATACTGTGATAAAAAAGAAAATTATACCTGCCTTAATTTGATCCTCCTGGTTTTTCTGTGTTCGTAATTGTCCTGCCTCTTTTGCTGTGAGATAGGTAAAAGCATGTGTAGAGCCGGCGCCGTGGCTCAATAGGCTAATCCTCCACCTTGCGGCGCCGGCACACCGGGTTCTAGTCCCGGTTGGGGCGCCGGATTCTGTCCCGGTTGCCCCTCTTCCAGGCCAGCTCTCTGCTATGGCCAGGGAGTGCAGTGGAGGATGGCCCAGGTGCTTGGGCCCTGCACCCCATGGGAGACCAGGAAAAGCACCTGGCTCTGGCTCTGCCAGGATCACCCGGTGCGCCGGCTGCAGCGGCGGCCATTGGAGGGTGAACCAACGGCAAAGGAAGACCTTCTCTCCTTGTCTCTCTCTCTCTCCACTGTCACTCTGCCTGTCAAAAAAAAAAAAATAAAAAAAAAAGATGACGCATGTGTAAAAGAAGGAGGGTTGTAAGCATACTTTTATACAGGAAAGCAGTTACAACTATGAAGTGTCACCTGCCCTGCTTTATTTTTGTTTTTCCCTCACTTTGGATTCCCTTCTCAGGTCAGAATCTCTCTCGCCATATACCACATGGCTGTCTACCATTTCTGACACAGACGCACTGTTGGCTGAGTGGGGCAAAAGCGGCGTTGTTACTGTTGATATGGGAGGTCGCGTCAGGCTTTGGGAAACTGGGCTGGAGCGTCTGCAGCGATCCCTCATGGAGTGGAGAAACATGATTGGACAAGAAGATGACAGGCATATGCAGGTACCGCTTGAACTGACTTTCCTTCTCAGGGGTACACGTTCAGCTGTAAAGTTAGCTACAGATGCCGCAGCCAGGAAAATGTCTGGCCCAACCAAAGTAGCTTACATCGTTTTTGGGCTCAGAAAAATCTGTCCATCTAGAGAGTGAAAAAGCAAGCGTGTGCTTCCCACTCCTTTTCTTTCAGTATTTAAATGTAGTTTCCTAAATTCACCACATACGGAGACAGTCATCAGCTTTCATTTTGTAGCCATCAGCGTGAACACCTTTTTATCAGCTCCGACTTCGACTGCCATTGTTGTCAGCATCTCTGCGTGCTACCTAGGAGACAGAAACATCGAGGGTCTAACAAACAGGATCTTGTTAACAAGGTCAAAACCTCGAGGCTACGGAGAGTAAGCAAAACATGCGTGCACTCGAATGTTTCTGCCCACTGCCTTGTTTCCAGATAACGTAAATCTCGCAGTCACAATAAGCAGACCCTGACTGCACTGGAAATCAGAGAACACCCCGCAGAGTAGAATGAAACCCCAAGACTCCAGAACAACTCGGTCAGTACCTTATATAGTTGCTGTCTGAAACTAATTTTGAAGAATGAGGAAGGCTGTATCCCCATAAATACTGAAGCATAGACTGAAAAGATTTATTTGCAATTTATTTGTTTTAATCTTCAGAGCAAAATGTTTCTGTTTACATTGCATTGTTGTCCAGCAAAAAGAAAGGTAGGTTTCTACCAGCAATGTTGCCCTGCAGAGAACCAATTAACAAGATAAGTGCAATGGATCTATTATAGCAGCAGGCTGTAGGCGCTATCCGTACAATGTTTGAAAGTTAATTACTTGTGGCTGTGTTTCTTTTATTAATCTAAACATGAATTTCTTTCTCTGAATTAAGCTCCTATTTTCATTATAGCCATTGGTGCCTAATAATTAATACTACTATGTTTAAGTTTCTTATATTTTATTTCAGTTTCTCATATGTCATGGAAATCAACAGTTATGTTTTTCCTGTGGTCAAGATTTGTGACCTAAATTTATTTTTACAATAGATCTTTAAAATGGATTTTTACTAATGGTTTTGATAGCAGCTCTTAACTGCTACAAGGATTAACCCCATTTGTATTTTAAGCCTGTAGCTCTTTACTCAGGGACATTTTTGAATATGTTGTGGATCTTTGAATTCCTAGCTCCTAGCACAGTGGTTAGCACACAACAGCCATGTTCACACTTACATGTACTAAGTGCACTGATACTTGAAGCCATCTGATAACAAATGGAATTTCTCGTTTAAATTATCACACATTATCCTTCTGACCTATGACTTGAGTCTGTATTTTTCAAGTGAATATGTAGTTATTAAATTAGAAATGAACAGAGCAATATACTTTCTAACAGCTCCAAAAATACTCAACTATGTTATGCAATGCAGTATCTGAATTTCCTCACACCAAACATTTTCAAGGAAAAGTATAACTTTGTACCCCCACTTCAAAGTTCAACCACAATAGAAAAATAAGACTCTTAGTAATAAAGTTATACAACTCAAAATTAAATAACAGTTTCCTTAGGAAAATTAGAATACATGCTGTCTAGCGTTCTTTTGTCTCCAAGATTCCTTGACCCATTGTGGTTGATACTGAAAACTCATACCTCTGTACATATGCATGGTGAGCATGAATCTTTCTGTTCAAACAGACAAGATTAGTTGTTCAAATAGTCTCTTGCTGTTTCTACTTTTTGTTATATCTCTCCTCTTCCTGCTCACTGCTTGATAAATCATGAGAAAGCACTTTTAATTGCTCTCGTGTAGACAAGCCCATTATTATTTGTTATGTACAGGTAGTTCCACAGCTGAGTCTCAGAGGAACCATTCAAGGGCAATGGTAATAACAAGCACATACTCATACTTCTCTTTCGTAGTTTCCTTCCTATTCTGTTTTTCAAAGTATTCCTCATTTATGGACCCTTTATTCAGCGTGGATCTGCTCCTGATTCTGGAGCTCAGGAGATGCCTTGCATGGAAATATTGAGAAAAGAGAAGAGATTCTTTTGGTACCCTTCCTACACTTGCTGGCTACAAGCGGCACCCGTGTCACTGGCAGAGTAACCTGATTGCCATCTAGTGGCCAAATGGTCCTCAGGTCCTCAGCATGGGTGGTTTGCACACTCCTGTCGTGTGTGGTTCCTTGTGGGCAGGAGATACTCCTTCAGATCAGCAGAATAGGCTGAGCAAACAGCCTGCCAAGCTGTCTACCACCTAAGGACGCCCGCCTTTCCTGGCTTCCCCTGCGTGGTAGCTGATAAACCATACAGTGACCCACTTTATCAGTACCCTTGATGTCTGGGCTACAGTTTAGTGTTCTGGGGTTATGGGCTGTGCAGCCATTCCAGAGTTGTGAGCTTTGAAGCCATTGTTGATTTAAACTTTTGTTTTTGTTTAATGAATTCATTGTGGTTTTTTTTTTTCATGAGTATAGAGAGAATTTATTGAGCTGTGCATATAAAATGCATTCATTAATTTTACATGCTTTAACAGGAAAGTGTTCTTCCTAGAGTAAACAACTATAAAAACAAATTTAAAATATTAATTGCAACTGTAGTTCCTAGAACTCATTATGAAGAGTCCATATTTATTACTTTTAGACACCAGATTTTTAGAAATGGATTAAGTATTAGCCAGAATTCTTCTACCTGTGTTCCATGGTGATTCTCTGTAAAGTATATTTTTCAAGTTTTTATTTTGTTATATTTGTATTCCTCCCAAGAAAGCTACACCACAGTTTTCCTCAGAAATCAGATCGTCTTCCTTTAAGGCTCTTGCTTACTCGTCTTGTGGGAGCAAAATGGACTTCAGTGTTGTAGCTTCAGAGTGTTACTTACTAATTACAGCAGACAAACCAGAAAGTAAATCCTCCCAGTATGACTGGTAGACTCTCCTTGAGGCCTCTGTGTAGCACCTCCTTTGTGTACTATAAAACGGATGGATTCTTCCAAAACACAGTGTGCAACTGCAACTTAATCATCCTTACAGTTCAGACAGCCTTTGGTACATAGTAGGCACTCAATCAGTGTTTGAAGATTGGGAGGAGAGAGATACACAGGCTAAATTCTCTGCAGCTACTCTCTGTGGGTACACAATATTTTCTCTTTTTAAGGAACATGATCCACTCTTACACTTCATTCTTTGCTTTGGCCAGTAACCTTGAAAATTCGGAGCAGTTTGATTCAGTGGGTCAGTGTTACAGAGTGATCTGTAGCTTACAAGATGATTATTCGTGCATATATCTTTAGAAGCCTTTCTTGGCTCAGGAAGGCAGTGCCTTTGTTGAATATGTATAATTTCCTACCATATCTTCTAGTGATATGTCAGTAGAGCTGGCTTGCAGCCAGCAGGGCTTGCTGTTTGCCTATATGATAACACTTAGGCATTGCCTGTAATGATTTTTCCATTGTTTATTCCTGTTAGAGCAATCCCAGGCATGGAAATTCATTTGGAATCCTTCAGGTTTTCTGGAGAATCTGGTGAATATGCAGGACCTCCTGGAGAGTGAGATACCCAGTTGTGTACTGATAAACCAGCTCTCGAGGGGACTAGGCAGAGGCTAATGACTTTTGCCAGTTTTTGTGGCATAAATATTCCCTCCCTGGCTGATGTCAAGCTACCAAAAGTTAACTCTGCTCAGAAAAACCATGAACATTTACCAACTATCTCTCATCAGCTCATACAGTTTGGCTCCAGCCTGCCAATGGCTCAGACTAAGTCCCCTGAGAGAATTAAGACAGTCACCTAGGAGCAAGGCCTTTGAGAAAGAAGGCAGTGGAAATGGGACTGGGAAGGAAAAGATGTAGAAGAAAAGGGAAAGGAGTCCTGAGAACACAGATAAAATGGGGTCATTCCCTCTGGGAAGTGTGCGAGCCTGCAGTTGTCCCACTTAGAGATTGTCAGTGATCTCTTGGACCAGCAGTTTGGTTTGAGCAGAGAATTGGAGAGAAGTCTGCCTCAGGTAGGCTGATGCTCAGGGATTCCTTTGGAAGGGCCTTCTTTCTTATATACATCATATTCCAGTGAGAAACTGTCAGTTAATTTTTATACTCCTCCAGAAGTAAGGCTTCCAACCTTATCTGTGATTGCTGAATACAATTAAAATTAAATCAGCAGCCACTTCCCTAAGACAAATAAATCATCAAGTCTATGATTTTAGGAGGATTATGAATTTTCATTAACCTCTTGTGCATATACAACAAGAATGTCACCCCTATAAACTATGAATATCATGGGTATTATAGATGTATAAACTAATTACAAGTAGAAATATCATCTTGCTTTTATACTTTGTAAAAGCCCTAACTTTAAGAAATTCCTTTTCAAACTATCAGGAATTTCAACTCCTTTCTTTCAAGACAGGCCTTAAGATCATTATTTTGTACATTAAAATGCCTACAACTCATGAAAATTCTTTAGCAAGATTTATTAAAAGTATACAGAAAACAGGGCCAGCTTTTCCACAAAGCAGGTAAAGCCACTGCCTGTGACATGAACATCCCATGTGGACTTGTCCTGGCTGCGGTACTTCTGATCCAGCTTCCTGCTAATGTGCCTGTAAAAACAGCATAAGATGACCCATATGCGTGGTCCGCTGCCACCCACATGGGAGACCCTGATGAAGCTCCTGGCTCCTGGCTCTGGCCTGGCCCAGCCCTGGCTAATGCAGCCATCAGGGGAGTGAATCAGCTGTTGGAAGATCTCCCTCTCCATCTGTTTCTCCCTCTCTTTGTAACTCTTTCTTTTCTTTTTTTTTTTTTTTTTAAAGATCGATTTATTTACTTATTTGAAAGACAGAGTTACAGAAAAAGACAAAGAGGAGAGAGAGAGAGAGAGAGAGAGATCTTCACTCCCTGAATGGCTACAACAGCCAGGGCTGAGCTGATCCAAAGCCAGGATCCAGGTGCAGAGGCACAAGCATGTGATCCATCTTGCACTGCTTTCCCAGGAACATTAGCAGG